AGTGTTTGTTCCCCCTTGGCCAGGGTGGCTGGGAAGCAGGGTCCTTCCCAGTGATGTCACTGCTTTCAAAACCTAGAAAAATAAAATTGGTGACTGGAAATTCCAGCCCTCCACCTCCACCCCCTTCCCCCCCAAAGAAAAAAAACCCTGCAAGTGCAATAACTTATTTCAAAAAAGTTAAAAATAATCAAGCTGCAAGACTGTTTGTTCTTTTTTAATATTCCACTGTAATGAACAGGTAATACATGGTTGCATAGGCAGTAACATTGTATGGCACAAACCTCACATGGCAACATTTTTAATGATTTTTTTAATTCTTTTTTTTTCCTGAACTTTTTAAAAACTTCTTTATTTTTTTAGTATGTTCTACCCCAGGCCGGTAAGCTAAAGAGGAAAAAAAAAAAAGGTTGCGTTTATACAAGGTTACAATATTTTACAACAAAAAACCAACAATATTGATTGAGGTTTGTTTTCTTTCTTTCTCCCAGTCTCTCTTTCAAACACTGCACACCTAAACCGATATATTATTATACATTGAAAACCGTCCTTCAAAATCAGTAGTATAAAAGTCCTAGCTCTACCTACCTACCTAGCTATGTGGGGGGAGTGGGGAACTGTGTTACCAGCAAAGAGTTAAGGGGGTACAAGGCCGCTCCCTCGTCTCTTCCCAGCTCCCTTTGGGAAGCTGCAAAGGACTGAATGACTTTCCATCTGATTTCACTCCTTTCCCATTTGGGTTTAATTTCTCCCTCGGTCTGTTTGCTTTTTGCTGTGTCAGTCAGAGTAGCAAAATAAACACGGGGCTCTGCCTCTGCTTGATTATTTTTTCAATCCTTTTCCAGGAAACTACCTTTTTGCCTTTGTTTGTTTGGAAAGTGTTTTACAACGTGCTGCCCGGTCTGAGTGTGCTCTGGGAATCAGGGAAACGCGCCTCCCCACCCCAAAACGCCTCCATTACTGGAGAAAACCAGCAGGCAGCACTGCTCTGCAGCACACCGGGTACACCTGCCCGGGGTTGTGCTGTGTGCCGGTGGCTGATGGGGCAGGTGGAGCCATGTGTGCTGCAGCTCTGCGACCTCATGTGTGACACATTGTCGCTACACATGGCCTTTCCCTAACACCCTGCCCACGCTCACGGCTCAGGCCAGATGTGTTCCATCACGGATGCGTGTTCTGGCAGGGATGCAAACTCACTCACACTTTGCCACGGGCTCTAGAGGAGAACGAAGTTGGTTCTCTTTTCATCTTGCTGTCTTGGTACTCTTCCCCATAAGCTCTACTCAGGTAGGTGCTGGGGCAGTGAGACCTGAACTGAGTAGCATATTCAAGATGCGGCAGCTGGAGCCTGGCTACTGGCTGGAGAGCCCACTTGGAGCACAGGTGGGTGGCAGTGCTGGCAACAGGCAACATGCCTGAGGGCTGACCTGGCCCCTGTCTCACTCCTCTCCATGAGCTTGTTCAGGCACAGCAGCCCTTAGAGTCTAGACCCTGCAGGGCCCAGCAAGCCCAAGCCTGGTTCACCACTGGTTTGCAATTGCTACCAAAGCATTAACTACTGCTTGCAGGCAAGAAGTGCCTCTGAGTACTTGGCAGCGAGTGGTACCCAACCGCTTTTAAACAAGTGCCAGGAACCCGTGCTGTTCTCACTATTTACATCCATCCTCCTGGTCTCAAAGCTCTGGGACATCTCTGGTAGTTTCTAACCATGGGCAACATAAGCTGGCCCCCATGTATGGTACCTGCTGCATAGGCAGGGCCAGGACTGCTTGGGAGAAATGTTTTGCTACCGTCATGAGGCTGGAGAGAGCGGATGGGTGAGTCCAGCTAGCTGGGCTGCATCCACAGAGGATGCCACTATGGGGATGGCAGGTGTCAGAGCGGCTGGAGCTTGTGAGACATTTTGGTGGTGGCTGGGGACAAAGCTTGCACCTTTGAAGGCAAGTCCAAAACAGGGAATCATGACTCAATGTATGGACAGGAGTAAAATACTAAATAAGAAATAAATAGAGAAGAAAGTCATAAATAGAATTGAAAGGTATTAAAATAACAATAATAATAATTAAAATGGTATCATCACGGTAACTTGAGATTGCAAGAACAGCACTGACCCTGTGACCCTTAAGAAATGCAGTAGCTGCAGACCTGCTAGGTTAAGATACACACACATATATATGTATGTATGTATATATATATTTATACAGTTTTTCACGTTAATTTAACAGCTAGTTTTAAAAAAACTTTGAAATAAATTTTTAAAATGTGTGTAAATACAGATGTATATGGGTTAAAAACTACCAGAATAAACTGCTTTTGGAGATTTGTGAGGGGCATGCTTTCCAGCATGACCCACAAGGGAGCTCGCCAGAATAGCAGCAGCACCCAGAGAGGTGGAGCAGAGCCTGGTGAGCAGCAGGGCTCCCCATGGCAGGGGGCAGGAAGGGAGCCCTGCGGTAAGGGGGTCCAAGGAACAACATCCCCCCTCCCCCATGATGATTTCAGGCAGGCTGAGGGCTGGGCATGTGCAGTGGCATTTAAATTAGACTGAGTCCAACATGTGCTTTCCACATGAATTTTAAGGTGAGAGAAAGTGGGGGCCAAGCCTCTCTAAATGCCAAGTCGGCTGCCAGGAGTCTCTAACAAGACAGGGATACAGCACTTAATCCTCTGGGCTATTAAACAGCTTGGATGAAATCCTGGCCTTGTGGAAGTCTGTGAGGAAAAGCTACCCTTTAACTTCAGTAGGGAATGCAGCTAAGTTCTTGAGTAACTACAATTCTCCACTGGAGCTGCCTTTGGTACCTGTAGGCCATGTGGAACGCATTCCCATGTGCCTGCCTGCCCCATCACCCTCTCCTTAGCTCTCCCTGTTGCTAATTTGCCTTGTCAGTAGTGATACTGGGCTGTTTGGGCAGTGGCCCTTCACAGATTGCCTGCTGACTGTGGAAAGCATCATGCTCTTTGGTGTGCCTGGGAAAGTGCTCTCAACACCATACTCAGCTGCCTGCACAAAATCTAGTGGAGAAATCGCCTCCTGCCACTGGTCCCTGGGTGGCTGGGAACCTCAATGGCTTCTGAGGCACCCACTAGGGGTGGTGTACACTTCCAACTAGTCAGCATGACTGTTCAGTGATCAGCACCACTTCTAGCATCTAACCCACCATGGCCCAATGTCTCAGGTGAATGTTTAGGTTAGGATGTAAATCCTGGCTGCTTGGGATGGGAGAGACCCTGGTCATACAGATGGTGTGGTTAAATGCATGCTGGCTCCCTGTGTGTACCAGGGAAGGCATCTCTTAGCATTTCTGAGAAAAGAGACAGTACTACTGATCTTTTCATATTCCAATAAATATATTACTTTTGACCTAGAAATGGTGTATCATTTAGGTAGTATATGACAGTCTAGACACTATGGAAATACTTATATAGCTTGTTAACCTGAAACCTGACATTTGGTTGTAGCTTATTTGAAGCCTTTTCCAAGACCACTAGATATTCCTGGACCTCGAACTACAAGATCCCCTAACACTATGCATGAGGAGACAGGGCAGGGTGACAACCCAATTTTTATGTGAGTAATATCCTATAGTTCCCTTGCAAATCTTGAGGACAGTTGCCCCAGTCCAAGCCCAGCTTGCGTAGCCATACCGTGGCAGTGATAGTGCTCAGCTGACTTTCAGCTTCTCTCTGGTAGTATTTCAGTGGTAAAAAGATGTTCCAAAATTATTCCTAGCACTACAAGATCATTGAAAAACTTCTAAAATGTTCAGCCTTGCAAAGGAGATCTTACTTAAAATGCTGTGCAGGTAAGAGCACTGGGAGGGAAAAATGGGGAGGCGCATTGGCTCAGACAAACCAGGCAAGTTCTGGTGTCTCCTCCTCCCTCAACAAGCTGAAGAGGGTCCAAGGTAGCTGGAGATTGGACAGCATCACCTCATCCACCTTTGGATCCCTTCCCAGCCTGTTCCCTGTGCCATCCGTTGTGCAGAAATGCCTGCAGCTGTGGTGTGCAGCAAGGCACTGGAGTGGGGGGCTGAGGGAGGGCTTGTCATTGCATGTATCTGACCCCAGGATAAGGTATATGAGGAATTTGATGGTCTCATGCCGCTGTGGCTGTGTGCTAGCACTTGAGCTGTTTCTCAGAGCGGTCTCTTTGGGGACCTGGAGATTTACACAGCATCTGTGCTTCCCTGCTTTAGCTACTGTCTCTAAATTGAGGTTAGTGATTGCCAACCCAGTGAAAGCTGGAGGAAACCTTTTGCTGCCCCACCATGCACATAAGCCCCATCATCAACCACAGCCAGGAAAAGCAAAGCCCAGGCGCTCCCTGAGGCAGTGAGCCATGCTTGGGAAGATACTGTCTGCTGGGATGCATCTTTGTCTGGGTCACCAGAGGGCTGGCAAAGACTCTCAGCATGATAGCACTGTGCCATGTTGGGTAAAAGGGTATCCCCTTCATGGACTTCATCTCAGACTACAAGGTGGAGAGAAAGCTGGGTAGAAGGAGGTGGGCTAATGTTGCCTTCTTAGTTATCTTCCCAGCCCTGTTATTGCTCAACTGTGGGAAGTCTTAGCTCCCGCTAAAATGACATAAGCAGCACGAGAGGTGTCTCTTTGCTGGTGCCAGAGTTCCCATCCAGTCCCCTGCCCAGGGCAGAAAATATGTGTGTGAGAGAGAGTATGTGCATGTGTGTGTGGGTGGGTGGGTGGATGGGAGAAGCTGCTGAAAAGCCAGTGGGCTCTTGCTCTTTGGAAAGGCAGATCTGGTGTCAAAAAAAATAGCAGGGAGAAAAAATGCCCAGGTTACTGGGGAGGTGGTGGTGAGGAGGGATGCATCTCATCCCAGATCTTGATGGAAGAAGTGCTGCTCCACAGCCTCCCTCTCCCTGCCTGATCCCAGGAAGCCAGGAGCTGCCATGTTCATGCTGGAAACACTCCACTTACATTAACATATGTACTTTATATGCCTAGGGTAGCTAAAAGTGCTGCATTCAGATCCCCGAGGAGGCAACTGCTGTCTGGCGTCCAAGCGGATGGATTTGTTCAGCTGTCCCTATGTGCTCTCTCCGTGTCATGGGCACTGGGCTGCAGCCCTGTCATGTCGCCCAGGAGATAGCGGCGCTGTGCTCCTTTGCTTTCATCCTCAGGGCAGCGATGCTGGAGGTCTTGCGGTCCGGCTCGCTGTTCAGCTCGTAGCCATTGAGGCTGGGGCTCATCCCGGCCGTGCCAAAGAGGCCACCCATGTGAGTCTGTCCCACGTGGCTGCCAGGGCCGGAGACGCCAAGGAACTCGGAGACACCGCCGGCCGCGTGGGGGTGGGCATGGGGGGACATGCAGGAGGGCACCGTCTCGCAGGGGACAACACAGGCAGGCACAGGAGAGGCAGCTCCATTGTTGCCAATCCAGGAGGGGTTCTGGATCTGGGGATGGGAAAAAAAAGCATCAGGGCTGCCCTGAGCAGGATGTGTCCAGCAGCTGGCCTGGGGGGATGGATTGTGTCCAGCCCCAGCCCTGCAGGGCAGCCCTGCGCATGAGGGGCAGCCAGTGCGAGCCAGCAGATCCACTCCAAAACCTCTATGCCAGCCCAGACAGGGGCAGGGACTGCAGGAGGCTAACTTGAAGGGAGCAGGATTGTGCCATAGCCTCTGCCATAGCATCTCTCTGTTTACCTGTGCCCCTCCCAGGCATTTCTCTTATTTTATTTGCACCATGAGCACTTTTCTCAGCACGGAAAACCTTATGTCATCCATGGTGTTCCTGTGGTCACACCCATCACGCAGGGAACAGGCAGAAAGGGGTGCTGCAAGGCTGCTGATCTAGCCCTCCTGCCCCAGCCCAGGGCAGCTTTGCCCAGGCAAGAGCTATTTTGTACCACACAGACATGCCTGTGGGAGCTGAGCTGCCTGCAGCCCCCAGCACAGGCAGTTTCCTGGCCCCTCTACCCAGCCCATCAAGGCAGCACTGTCCACCCTTCTGCAGAGCAGAGCCCTGGAGGGCCACCTCGAGCGACCATCTGGGCTCCTGCAGTATCACTTATGAAGTGATATTGCAGAAGAAGAAAGGGGGGCTCAGTATTTGGCAGTGGAAATAGGTGTGCTGCGGCAGGGAGCGACATGGGGATGCAGGATGAAAGTGGGGAGGAGATGAGCAGCTGGCTGGAGCAAGAGGGCAAAGGGCCCTTCATCCCACTGCACCTCTCCACCATGGGCCCTTGGGCCCTCTCTGATCTCTTACCTCCAGCAATTGCTTTTCAAATTTTTGATCTCTAGTGCTGGGAGAAGAGAGCTGTGTGGAGGGAGTGTAAGTTATGAAGACAAGAGAAGGGCATGCTGAAAACGCTGCTGAGAGTGTCCCCTGCTTGAAAAGCTGCTTTGGCATCTCTCAGCTATTTCATAAAGGTTTCTTGTTCAGTTTGGGGGAGATGCCAAGCAGGAGAGAGGTCAAATGCTCCTGGATTGGCTGTGGGGTAGCACTGTTACAGCACTGGCTGGGGAGGTACCTGACAGCCAGGGAGTCAGGGAGGACTCCCAGCACATCTGTGAGGACAGTCAGGTTCAGAACATCACACCTGCAGAACTCTGCCCTCAAGCAAATTCTGGGTGGTGGGAAGAGGAGTGCAGGATGGAGGGAGTGCTTTGCAGGGGCACAGCCTAGCCCTTGATCAAACAAATGCCTGTCTGGCATTCTCTGAAGGCAGCGTTGTGAAATGGGGGCTGGCCCAATGCTTAAGAGGTTACTTTGGTCAAAAGTTTTCCAGGACAGGAAGCTAAGGAGGTGAGGCAGCTGTGTGATCTGCTGCCAGGGTCAGGGCAGGAAGAGTTTCAATAGGACCCAGAAGCAGCCTCAGGTACCCCAACAAGGCTGCTCCCCCCACTTCCTTTGGAGCACAAACCTACAAGTCCATTGGGAAGCATCCTCAGATATCATCAAGTGCGCTGTAGGTACCAGAGCCCATCACTGGGAGATGGCTGTAAGAATTTGCCAGGAAAAAATACTTTTGTCCAACCACCATGTCCCAGGGGCATGGAAACCCAGACACGGCAACAGGAAACCTTCCTGGGAACTGCTGTTCTTTAGGCATGAATTAGCCTTTTGGATCTTTTTCAAACTGAAATGAAGTTAGTGGGCAGCAGCACACATGATGGGAGAAGGGCAGTGTAACAGGATGTGCTGAGCAGGGTGACCTGTGCCCAAAGGGTGCTGCACTATGGCACACAGGGCTGGGCTTGGTACCTACTTTAAAGATGGCTGCTCTTGGCGAGGGCATAAGGGAGCTAGGCAGGATACTTGACTAAAAAACTCCCAGCCCTTCAGTGCTTGACAACACATATAGCCCTGGCACCAGCATTCTTGCAACCTTGCCTGGGGGCAGGTGGATGAACCTGAGAAGGGAAACATGACTTGGAGAGGACTGGGACCAGAGGCAGTGTGTCCAGCAGGCACTGGGACAGATGGGCCCAGGCAGGGGAATGCACTCACCTGGGCGTAGTTCTCAGCACGGGTCAGCAGAGGCAGCTCATAGGCAGTGGAGAAGTGGGTCCGGACCTGCTGCATCTGACCGAACCGCTCCCTCTTGCGCCATTTTGCTCTCCGGTTCTGAAACCACACCTGGGAGAGAGCAAGAGGGGGGCTGTGACCAAGGGTTGCTGCTGGTAGTGGCTGGGAGCCTGGCAGCCCTGAGGAGCCTGCCAGTGGGCAGGCCCTCCCCAGGTGGGTGGTTTTGCATGGCATGGAGATGGGTGCTCCTCCACACACAAGCTCTGCAGGAGAGTGACAGTCCTGCCCTGCATCTCTTGGAGGTCTGGGACCAGCCTTTGCTGCTAGACTGGGCACACCTAAGGCAAAAGGGGATGCCCATCTTTTGGTGTACTGCCTCTCTGGTAACATTCACAGCTCTTGCCTCCCACAGCCTAATTTGTCCTGGGATAGCCCGTCGTCCTCTCACCCTGAAATCTTTGTTACCCAGGCTCTGCCTACAGCTCTCCTGCTGTCAGCCAGTCTCAGACAAGAAGTGTGAATACATGTGTGCTGCTGCCTGGCTGAAAGCAGCAGTGACGGGGCTTTCCCCAGGCCTAATTCTGGCTATGACAATGCTGTTGGCTGAAGCTTGCATTTCTCACCAAGCTTTAAGGGTTATTTTTCTTAACTGTGATGAGAGAGAAAAAGCCTAACACCCCTTCCCTCCTTAGCTGCAGAAAACAGCAAGTGTCCTTCTACAGTGTCCTTTGCTTTACACTGAGTTTTATTCGCAAAGTTTGCAGCTCTCTGCTTCACAGTGCTGCTCAGATCCCTTCAAGGCAAAGACCAAAACTCTCTTTCTGCTCTTATTTTTACTGGCTTGACATCAGTGTGGATTATTGCACTGTTGTCAGCACCATTGCTCCTGATTTGCATCAGCCTAAGAGAGATCAGAGCCTGGCCCAGTGTCTTCAAAGCCTCTTGAAGCTCGTGAGTCAGGGAAACACATCAATCAAGAGCCTCTTTGAAGGCACTGAGAGATGAGGGTGATCACCAGGGGCTGGGTTGTGCAGGTCACGCCAGTGCATGAAAGGAGCAGTCCTAGAGCCTCTTGGCTCTGCTTCGAGTTTTACACGGTGACTCGCGGGGGGGGTAGCAGGGGCATCGGTAACAAACAACTTGGCCCTTCCCATGCCTGGCCATGGGGCAGCTTTGCTGCTTGGCAAGCAGCTGGGGAAAGCAGACACCAGGTAGGAAACTTATGTGTTAGGAGAAGAGGAGGACAGGCCAGACACTTGGCAGAGGGTGGGGTGGCAGGCCAATTCTCGGGGGGGCACGACAGCAGTGGCACCTGTAGCCTGCATCAGCAACTAGAAGCTGCTACAGGGAGAGAGAAACACGAGGGGCTGGGGGTTCTCATCTGAGCTGACCTTCTTGCTTGTGCTGGAAGAGTTGTTTCAGGCTCTGCTGCATCAGGTTCCCCCTTCCCACCATAGGCAGCCCTGCGCTGGTCTCTCACAGCTCCCCGTTGTGGCCCAGCTGTCGGCCTCATGGTACAAGTGGGCAGCTGAGGGTCTGGCCATGTGCTATGGTCTGCTTGGTGCAGTGAGCAGATGATGCAGCACCCGGACATGTCCTTCCCATGCAGGCTGCAGATGGTGTAGGGTTTACTGCCCTGCTCCACGGCCATGGCAATGTCACTGGCATGGGCCATCCACAAGCTAGCCAGACTAGCCTTACCCAAAACAGCTGTTCTTAATCCCCCCACCTCAAATCAAAAACCCTATGAGTATTTTGAGCAGATTCAAAAAGCACTAGCAGAAAGGTCCTAACATCATCCCAGCTGAACACACGCAGTACACGAAGAGCATCCTACTGGAGCAGGTTTGATGCCCCAGGCATCTGTCTGCTTTTCTTCTCCCTCTTCTTGGCACAGCCACTCCAGCCCAGCTGCAGGCCAGTCTCAGGGCTGGCCAGGATCATGCTGCTTTGATCTGCAGATTCAAAGTTAGCGGTGGTGACCCGGTTCCTCCTCGGGCGGAGGAGGCCCCGCTGTGCACAGAGGGGTGGGGAACAGGTAGGGAGCAGAGTGCTGACTGTGCGTGAGGCCGGAATGAACATATGCCAGGCATATGCGGCCGTTCTGTTCCTGGCGTAGGCACCGGCGGCCTTGCCCGCACACCTGTGCTGCCATGCAGGGGAGCCCGCCTGGGCATTCCTCCCGGGAGCAGGATGGCCAAGCACAGGCCCCCCCAGAGCTGAATTGCTCTGCGGTGTGACCTTTGAAGCCATCAATGCAGGGTTTGTGTGCTCAGCTTCCCAGGACAGCGCAGCAGCTGCCTTGATGGAACCGCAGGGAGGTTTCCTCGGGCCAGTTGAAGCAGAGTGGGGTCTCAGCCTTTGCTCTGCCACATTTATGCATTGGATTGAACTGGCTCTGGCAGAGCAAAATGGTTTAAACTGGCAGTTCCCGAATTGCAATCCCCATGTGTCTGGTGGGCTGGGAGGCTGTTGCAAATCATTGCATTAGGCTGAAAAAGAAGAGTGACTTCAGTCCAAGTGTTGGTGCCATGGGCAACGGAGACACTCAGAAGGCCGGCAGTAAGCCATGAGTCCAAAACACTTGTAGCAAGGTTTGGACTGTTTTTCAAAGTTCTCCTTTCACCTCTGGTCCAAACACTTATAGGTTGCTTGGTATTTTGCAGTTGGGTTTCTCCAAGCCTCCACAGTGCTCCAGGGAAAGCAAGACAGGCAAGACAATGTGAAGATGTCAGCAAAAACCCCAGCTGATCCTCGGTATTTCCACAATCTTAGAAGATGTCTGCTTTTAAAAAGCAAATCTAAACCCTGACCGAAGTCCATTTTCCTTTCATTGCCTCTCACTTTTTGTCAAGAGAAACTGTTGTGGGATGGGGATGTGACAGCGGAGGTTGCAGTGGCTGGTGCAGCATGTCCTCTAGGGTTGGGATAGGGTACTTCGTGCAGAGACCAGCAGTTACTGTGGGCTGAATCTCAGTGTTAAGTTAGAGTGGGAGTGTAGGGTAATGTCATGTATCTGACTCCTGCAGACAATGCTTTGATAAGCCATGATGTACCAAATAAGCCCTATAAAAATCTACAGAACAAAAAATGTTTCATGTCTCCATAAACATTCAGCCATATGCTGGTACCTTAACCCATATGCATACACAGCTGATGTGCTGTTGGGGAAGGAGAGGCAAGGAATGGCCTGAGACAAAGAAAGCAAGCAGGAGACTCCTGCTTGCTGACTTGCTGCCTCTACCCTGGCACTGCCAGTCTGCCCCTGCCACCAAGCCCCACGTGCCCTGCACAGGGCACAGGTGGATGGGCTGATTTGGGATATCGCTCAGGCCACTCTGGCCACATCTGGATAGTTGTGGGCTGCATCGCTACATTTATCCTTCCTCCAAGCAAAAGAAAAAGGTGCTTTCCCCTGTGTCCTATGCCCACCAGTGCAGCAGTGGAAAGTGAGGCTGATCTCTGCACACATGTGGTGGTGGGCTGCTGGCAGCCATGAGGTTGCACTCACGCCCTGTTGACAACCCTTATTGCATCACTACCCTGGTGCAGACAACAGCTGCCCACCACGTTCAACTCTCTTGTGTTCCTGCTCTCCTCTGGCAGCCTCACAGTATCCATTCTTCCCATTCCTGTCCTCCAACCCTACTGCCCTCCTCCCTCTGCTCAGCCTCCATCTGTCTGTGTCTAGGACCCCATCCCTCTGTGAAAGGCTAGGCATCTCCCCTCTTCCCAGAGATGGCCACCAGCCCTTTGCTTTCCAGACTGCAAAAACAGAGCCAGAATTCATCTTTGAGTGCTGAAACTGGACACCATTTTATCAGTGGCCTGGAATGGGAAATTGGAGCCTGGGATGAGAGAATTGAATAACTTGAGCTTGTTTTCATTTCATGTTTAATTTCCTGCAGGCTTAGCTCAGTCTTTCCGCTCCTTCCACAAGCCTCCCAGGGTTTTATGGGGGAAAAGGGATCAAGATATATTACTTCTTGCTTTGCTTTGCTTTTTTTCTTTTCTTTTTTTTCCAAGGCGGTGATTTTGCTACAGCAGAGTTTGACATTTCCCTCTCACTTTCAATCCCCCGCCGCATCACAGGGTTACCGCCAAAAACATTTCATTAATGGTCCCAGCAATCTTAGGGCTGGCTCTGAGGGGGGCTAGCTGAGGGGTTATAGTTATATTCCCTGGCTGCAAAGACTTCTTCCAGCCCCATCCCTTTCTCCTCTGCCACAGAGCAGTCCAGGAGGCAGAGATGCTCATAGCCCAAGAGAGATGAGCAGCCAGGGCCAGGCTGGCAGGGCCTGGGATGTGTATGTGAGTATATGCAAGGGGAAGGAGACATGTGTGAATACACGTGTCTACCATGTTTTTCTCGTGCCACTGCCTCAGACATATGCTGCAGACCTGGATGATCTGGAAGAAGCTCAGACAGTTGCTGTATCAGGCAGTTGCTAATACCAAGCAGAAGCTCTTTCTGGAGCTCTGCAGCCCCAGACACGGAAAAGAATAAGGGAGTGGAATATACACCTTTTGTAGGACCTACATGAACTCAGCACCCACTGTGCGCCCATGCAGGCTTGTGACTGAGCCCCAGCAGTCTGTCCCTGGCTGTGTAGCTCTGCCTCTGCACAGGGCTTACACATGGCTCGCACTTTGGAAAACAGGGATGTGCAGTATCTTAATAGTACATGGAAACAAGGGGCCAGGTTGTGAGGTTCGGAAAGGGAAAATGTTGCACTGCATCACAAGGGGAATTAGCTTTGACATTGTTGGACACCACTACAGATGGTTGGAAATAGAGGCAGGCAGGGAAATGGAGCAGGAGAGGGGCCAGGCTGTGGAATGCCACCACTTCACAGACAGTGCAGCCCACCCCATGCATGCTGCTGGCATGGGCTCTTCTCCAGGCACCGAGAACTCTGGCAGCTATTTCACTAATGAAGCGTGAGCTTGGGAAAGGGTTGGAAAAATCAGAGCTGCCACTTGCCTTTCTAGGCTTCACATCTGCTCCTGCCTGCAATGTGGCTGGTTATGCTCCCCAGGGAGCTCTGCCAGAGGGGATGACCTCCAGCCAAAAGCTGGCTCAGCTCTGGGAGAGAGCATCAGACCTGCTGGGTGCCTCACCTTCCTGCCACTCTCCTTTGCTCAGCTGAGCCTTGCAGGCAGCTGAAGCTGGCCTCCATGAAATTATTCCAGGACATTTGGCATCCCTTAGATGACCATACCTTCCTTGGGAGAGGGACTGTTGAGCTTCCCTCAAAGCCCATGGGGCTGCCATAGGTGTGTACCCCAATATCCCACAGCAGCTGGAGCCTCTGCCAGCTTGGCAGAGGGTGCCTGAATACACAATGGCTATTTGGCTCTCAGGGGTAAAGTAGTAAGGGGTTCACGGCTAATTTATGATTTCCAACCCTCTAGCCCTTGGTTCTTCATCCTTGCCGTAGGCATTTACTTTGCCATCAGTCTCCTGAGCTGTTGGCCCATGCCTGTACCCACTCTTTGGCTGTGAGCTGATGGCCCTCAATGTTAGAGTGTTGGCACTGGAAGGCCCCCCCAGAGCTGCTCAGAAGAGTGGGAGACCAAAGTCAAACTTAAACAAGCTATAACACAACCCAGAGCTGGAGACAGTCACTGGCATGATTCACTAAAGCTCTAACTCCAAAAGCTTCCTTCATGGGAAGTGCAGCCCTGTGGCATCAGCAGAAGAACCCTGTGCCATCTCCAGTTGCACCTCCATGCCTCCTGAGGGGCTGCCACTGCCACGATGAAGCTAAGCAGTTCACTAGACAGCAGCTCCAGCCCCCTGGGAACACATGGGAGATACCCAACACATTTGGTGCCCTGAGTCTGCTCAGCCAGCACCCACAGGCCTGCTGGTTCTTGCTCTCCAGTGACAGGCAGTCTGCATTTCTACCGACAGCATGGCAGCCCTTCCTCATGAGGTGGTGGCTGAGTGCCAGCCCATAGCCCAGGGGACTGGGCCCTTCCTGTCAGAGCAGGGGAATGACTGAAATGCAAGTGCTGACACCTTTCAACTCTGGGTAAGTGCTCGAGTGCCAGCCCACTTGGACAAGTCCTTCAGCCACGAGCCCTGTAATTGCCACCCCAAGTGAGGGGTGTGTGCTGGCAGCCATGGCAACAGGCTGCTGGGGCACTTATCTCAGGACAAGGTGATATCCCCTTCTGCCAGATATCTGCCTGGTGAGGTGCTTCTGCCCTCAGCTTTAGTGTTATCCAGTGGGGGAAACCCCCCAAGATCATAGGCCAGATGTAAGGAACTTGTAGATTGCATCTGCCTCACCTGCCCTGGCTCTGTTAGCAGCCCTGCGTGCTGGCTAGGATGACACACTAGCTGCACACACTGGCTCAGAAGCAAGCAGGAGGAGCTTGCCACCCTCCAGCACCTCATTCTCATTCCTGAGCAAAAGGAATTTCATGCACTGTGCAGCGTGTAACCAGATGCTGTGCCTGGCCTCCCAGGAGACCCCATCGGCACTTGTGATGTGTTCCTGGGAAATCAAGGGTTTCATCCAGTGACAGAAGTAAAGAGCTGATGTTTGTAGCACTGCCTTCCTCTGTCCATCCTGCAGTGCTCAGCATGCTACACTCGGGACCAATGGGAATCATGCTGCTTCCTACTGAAATGCAGCCGTGTCCAGCCTGAAGAGAAACAGCTGTGGGGAAGAAGAGCACACCAGCCCTGCAAACCAATTTAGGAAGCAGACAAGAAAAATCCTGCTTCCAATTGAATCTGGAAGTGAAAGTACAGACTAAAATGGACTTAAGCATGGATGCTGGCTTGACTGCTTCGACTGTCTGCAACAACTACTTGTAAAGGTTAAAGCAGAGGGAAGCTGGGCTGCCTGGGAGCTAGGAGTCTGCCTGGTGTAAGACATACAATCAGGTGTCTCCACAGGCCAACTATTCAGGTAAATCCCAGAATCACACAATATTCCAAGTTGGAAGGGACTCACAAGGATCAGTGAGTCCAATGCTTAAGTGAATGGCCCATGTGGCGATGGAACCCGTGACCTTGTGATTTTTAGCACCATGCCTTAACCAACATTCTTGATGTTAATGCAGGTTCTGGGGATGGTGAGCTGACAAATGCCTGCAGATGGAAGTTACATGATTAGCTAGGCTGCAGAAAGAGCTGACCACCAAGGCATGAGTTGTGGATGTCTGCTCTACGCAATGATGTTCCTTTTTGCACATGCTTCTGAGCCCTTCCAGGCCTTCTGTTAAACTCCTTTATGTGGATTTTGGCTCAGCTGGACCCCCAGTTTAGTTTGGGGGAGCTAGTTCATAGGCACCTGTGTGGGTGGAGGTGGTTGGAAGTCTGTCAACAGTGTAGCTGTTTCACTCTCCTGCTCCTCCCAAGGTGGTGGGTGCACCTTTTGTCTCCAGGTCTCCAGCTCTCATGCATCCTCAGCACCTACTTAACCAAGCAGGCAATAAAAGCTCCTTGTCCTGTATCACCTCATGCTCTCTGCTACTGAGCTCCTGGTCACCTCTGCATCCCCATCTTGCCAGAAAGAGCCCATCTTGTGGAAAAGCTTGCTCCCACTCAGACTAATGAACCTGTGTCCCCTGTGAGTCTCCTGAAAAAAAGTGTTTTTTGTAAAAGCTTTGTTGTGAGTGGCCATGAGGTTTACCCGCCTGCTGTCCCATTAGCTCAGGGGCAAGAGGTGTGTCTGTGAACACTGAAGCACAGGACACCAGACCAAATAAGGGAGCTGACACTAGTGTCAGATGCGGATGTACCTTCCTGGCCTGTCCCTGCTGGAGAAGCATGCTAGCCTGTGGCACAGGCTCTGGGTAGGGCTCGGCTGCCTGCAGTTTATGGTGGGGCTGCAGGGGACCTCAGGGGCTTGTTTGCAGCTCACCCACCCCTCACCCAGCCCCAGGCCATTCCCCCATACCTGTACACGAGCCTCGGTGAGGTCTGTCCTCATGGCTAGCTGCTCCCTGGCATAGACATCAGGATAGTGGGTTTTCTGGAAGACCTTCTCCAGCTCCTCCAGCTGGTAACTAGTGAAGGTGGTGCGGTTCCTCCGCTTTTTGCCCTTGTTGCTCTCCGAGTCGGCCTTGTCCATGGGGCTGGGGAGGTCTGTGCTGGCCCTGTCCTGGGGCACTTTCACCCCAGCCTCCTTCACGCTGAGGTAGCTGCTGTCCATTCCCGAAGGGTCAGAGCTCGGCTGCAAGTCGGCCTCTCCCAAAGCACTGTCTTTACCTATTTGGATGGGAGAGCAGGGAGGGGAGAGGAAGGAGGGTTTCAGCAAAGGCAGGGGGTGGGGAGAGACAAAAGGAAACAGATGTAAATATTTTGACCAATTAGTTGGTTCAACCAGTTTCAGCTAGCACCCTGGCAGGGGGGCAGCAGCTCCCAAAGGTGGGCAGAGAGGTTGGCACCAACCTTGGACAGAGAGAGAGAGGGAGAGAGGAAGGAGGTGAGACAAGGCAGAGGGCTGCCATGGGTGCAGAAAAGCTGCCAGCCTTGGCCTCAGAAGGTATTGGAGCTCAGCTTTGGGGTGTCACAGGCTGTAACGATGGGAGGAGGTCGCTGTTATGGCAGGAAGGTTGATCACAGGCCACAGAGGCCAGCACAGATGGGGAAGAGGAAGTTGGGGCAAGCTCTGCCAGCTACTCCTCCCTCTCCAAGAGCCAGGTGGAAGGATGAGCCCTGTGCACTCATGTGCACACAACCTAGTCAGACCCTTCTCCAACACCCACATTGAGACTGAACCCTGCAGAGCACTACATTCCTTGGTCCTGGCCACAGGAAAGGTCTCTGAGGATAGAGGAACCCATCTGCTCCCCGCATCAAGTAGGTCCCCTGTCACCAGCTCATTGGTGCTCCCCTACTGAATAGCACAAAACCAGTACCCAGCAGCCACGCGTGGTGCTTGGTTATGTCTGCTTTCTTGTCCTGCATCCCCTGGCAGTGGTGGTGTGTCAGCAGAGGTGCTCCTGACTGATACCCCACAGTCAGCCCACAGCCTTCTGAGAGGACTTGCACTGCTTTTGGCAAGAAGGCTATAAATTGGGCTTAGTGCCACAGAAAAGGACGTCATGAGACATCTACAGAAACAGCCCAGCCTTTGTGCAGGGCAGAAGGAAATGAGAGGGAGGCTGACAGCAGCCTGGGAAGGTGTTCCTGCCTGACTACCCTCAACAATTAATAATTAATGGGACATGAGGTATGACAGCAGTACGGTGATACAGGAGGAGGACATTTCAACCACTCAACTGGTAAGCTGGTTCCTGTCTAAGGGGTAGCAGCTACAAGTAAAACCACTTTTGAGCTTCTATAATGGGGCATATGTATCCTCAAGCCCATGTGCTGTGATGGAGCATCCTCTCCTGCCCACCTCCTGCCTCCAGTGGAAGTGGTGACACCTTCATTAGCAAGAGTGCTGCTACACCAGCAGGACTCTGGTACGTCCTGACAAGTGACCACGGCTCTCCCTTGTCTGGTGCCACTGCTCTGCATTGTGGGCCATCTCCAGACCAGAAAAAGAGGGATCTGTGTGAACAATAGACAACCTGCATATGCTGCACAGCTCCCTGTCACACCTGGCCACATTTCTGACTGGGATCTTTGGACAAAAAACATGGTAGCCCTACTGCAGATTTTAACCTTGAACCACTATTCTCAGTTCCTAAATGTCCGGGAAGTGGTACAGTGGTACTTCCTATTCATGCTCTCCTTACCAAGCAAAGAGTACATCAACTGGATGATCTTTTTTTTGATTTTCACATTAGCCTATTTTTAAATGCTACCAGTCCGGGGTCAGTCTTTCTAGGAAACAGCTCCACCATCTAGTGGTGTCCCCACTGGGAGCTTTTCCCCAGCAGTGTCATATCCAGGGTCATTAACGCCAGCTCAGGCATCTTAGCCTGTGTCTTTGGCAATTTCCATTTTTTCCAGCACTTATCTCTTGTTACATCTTTCCACTAATTCACTGTATATTTAGAGTTTAGCCCTTCTGTGAACAGCTGTCATGTCTCCACAACCAAAAGCCCGTGAATGAGCTTGTGAGAAGGTGTGCGTGTCCTCACCCATTTCTCACTCTTGCAGCTGAAAGACTGCATTGAAGTGATTGGGATAAAACCAGGATGAAATGTAGCTGTCACCCTCAGGCACAAGGGCAAGGAAGGTCCAGATTTAAGTCTGGTAGGATGAGCTATGAAAGGGTTTTGAGAAAAAAATTGCCCAGTTGGTACAGTGGGGTTGAAAGCAGACGTCGGTAAAGGTAACAGTTGCAGGAGCTAACTGCGACTACCTCCCTGCTGTGATTTCGGATTTGCTGCTTTCTCTGATACTGTTCACTCAGGCTTTTGAGGTCGTCCCTGTAAAGCTTTCCAAAGTCTGATGATATCTGTCTCAGCAGTCTTTGCTTTGATCCTTAGGAACATTTTGCCAATATTTATACTCCCTGGACCAATGTCTAGGCCAGGGACTGACACGCTGCCTCCTCTTGCACCTCCCCTCTCTGACCAGCTGACCTCTTCCACTGCTCCTGGGGGATGCAGGTGGGCAGGCCTGTCCAAAAGAGGCCCTGCTCCACAGCCTAGGTAAATCATATGATACGGACATGATATTTATAAATTTCACAACTGAAAATAAAACAGTTCCAGAAAGTCTGCAGCAATAGACTACCACCTATGAGAGTCAGTAGAGACAGAGCAATAAATATATGAAAGTATTCCAGGAATTTTTTTTTTCTCTTGTCTTTCTTTCTTTTATTATTTATGATACCAGGAAGCCCAGTTCCCCACGGCTTTGTGCTGGCTGCCTCCCTAACTCCCAGGTGCCCTGTAACTGCAGCAGCAGCAAACATAACACCTGAGGCCTTTCCTTGGGAACTCCTCTGCGTTTCTTATCTGCTTGGGCAGCTCAGCTAGCTGGGAAAGGGTCTGCAGAAACATATACACACAGAAAAGCTCTCAGTCTGTTCGAATTTCATTGACTGCATAGCCCAAACTGCATTTGGGAGCTGGGCATCGGACTTTCAGCAGTGATAGTTACTTCCATCACAAACCATCAGCCCCAAGGAGCAAGCGACTGTCCCTGCTATGCACACAATGGGTATTCCCCTGCCTGCCTGCTGCCAGTCCAGAGCCCTCCTCGCCAGCTCAGCCATGCTGCTGTCGTGATCCTGCACTGCAGCAGACATGGGCTTCTTCACCTCTAGCCCCTGAGGGCCCTGGCAGGGATGAGCTGACTCCATGAGAGGAGCAGCAACTGTGGGATGGAGGGCAGGACAGCAGTGTAGGGAGGGGATGGTGTGCATCCATCCTCGGCTGAGCATCCCAAGAAGTAACTCTCATTCCCTAGAAACAGGATCTCTGACCTCAAAACAGTCACGCTAACTGCTGAAGTGAAACAAATTGCATACATCTGCATATGGATATGCCCAGACTTCCTGTAACTGGAGATGGCCTCAAAGTTTCAGTGCAAAGTTTGGGGTGTCTGTTTCTAATCAAACCTAGAGAGACCTTGAGTTATATATTGTGAAGATCTCCATGACAAGGAGTTAATGTGAGCACCATTGCACCCTTACAAGCCCGACAGGACCGCTTGATGCCTCTTTCACTGCTTATGACTCCATCCTTGCCCTTGTAGCAGTAGAAGGATATTTTCTGGCTTCCCACAATTATGTATTGCTTTTTCAGTGCCTTGGTGCCTGCTAGACCATCAGCACTGCCAAGACCTTCCCTGAGTCACCCTGTGTCAGTTGCCAATGGGCAGGGACAGCCCAGGATATCTGGGCATGTGAGCCCCAAACACCTTGCAGCCTCTTTGGGCAGGATGCCTGCATCCCCAGTTCACCTGGAGGGGTTATGCCTTTCCAATCTCACCGTGTCTGTCCTGGGGACCCTACAGAAGAGAAAGGGGGTGCAGGAAACACAAGACCATGTGGCATATATGGCCATGAGGTAAGCAAGCCCGTGAGGGAGCCAAGCATCATGCTGCTCTGCTGACACTGTCCTCAGGGAATGGTCATTTTGCTCATGCTGTCAGAATGTTTGAATTCACAGCTTGTATCTGTTTTGTTCCTCAAGTGTTCTGTTTTGTGAGGACGATGGAGTAAAATCTTCAGTATGTACAATCTTATCTATGAAATTTAATTTAGAGCAAAGTCAGCTTGGCACATCCACACGGCAATGTAGGATAGGACATTTCCAATACACAGCTTTGGGCCCAACTTGAAAAGATAGGTCTGCTTTGCACAGCACATACATGACAAGCCACAGTTCCTTGCTGATAGGTTTCTTCCCATAGATTCTGTGACTGTGGCCCCACAGCCCATAAGGATGCAAGACAGCTATATGGCCAACACCCAGGGACACAACCAGCACAGGGCAGTTTCCCATGGGCTCCAGGCAAAAAAGCCTGGATCTTGGCATTGCCAATATACTGCTCTGACAGCATCATGTCCAAGCTATTAGTCTCAGTGAGGAGTTTATGCTATCCCAGTCTTGGGAAGCTTCAAGCATAGCCTGGAAGACCTACCATGTGGCAGCTCAGAGAGGCTGCCTGTTGGTGGACAACCCACGTCCAAAGCACACGGCACAAGTGGCGTGGGGCTGCACCAGGCTGCCTCTCTGCTCCCACACTAAATGACATAGGGACCTTCTGCCTTCCTGCCCAGGTGTGGGCACAGGGGTGTTCCCCCCACCCATCCCCAGATTCTGTGACCATTTCATGGTGCCTCTCCCTGTCTGCATAGCCATGGTCTGACTCTTCATAGCAATGATGCATTAAAAAAACCCCAAAACATCACAACCTCAAGTGCAGATGTTTAAGAATTCTTTTTAAATCCAGTTCTGGCTCTTAATGTCATTCTCTGAACTCTTGCATAAATATCAGTGCTAAAATTTTCCCTAGATAGGGTTTGGGCAGGGTACTCCACACTTTTTACCAAGGCAGATTTGCACCACAGCCCAGCCAGCACACCTCAAGGACTTGGCCAGCCATAGTAACCTTATCCAGTTCTTGTGATCTTGCCTTAACACATGCTGAAGCCATTATGCTTGTTCTTAAGCTGTCTGCTGCAGCCTTCTGCCTCCTGTCTGTCACTGAAGTCTAGGAGTCAGCACAAGACTATAATTTAAAAAATATCCACATCTAGGGTTATATGGGAAAAAATGGAGTGGCTGGATTTTAAACAAATAAGGACCCAAATATTTAGGTTTATTTTTGTTCAGGGAGTTAGTAATCTTGCA